ACAGTCCTGTGGGTGGGGAGTTTGTGGGATCATCGCGGTCCGGAGGCGCGTCTCTGGGGGGAGGGTGGAGAGAGACAGATGGTTTGTTTTTGTGGAGTTGGGATCATCGCGGTCTGTGGTCTCTTGCCGCAATGCACTCGAGGCGATGCACCTGAGGCACGCCGTCCCTGCCCGGCTTTTCTAGCATGTTGAGGAGCACGAGTGCCGTCCGGCCAACCGATGCATGGTGCGCAGAAAAGCTAAACGCTTCTGCTGACAGATCGTGACACCCGGCAGGAGATTGGAGCGGCGGCATCCAAGCCTCTTCCATTCCAGTGCCGAGGTCGTCCTCACTCGGCGCGGTTGCGCTGTGTCCAGCCCTTTTGGCTCCCGCCCGCGTCATGGCCCAGAAAACGCAAGCAGGGCGCGGCTCGCCGTGCTTCTGAGTATGTGCATTTCGTTCGCGCCGCTGCAGATGTTGGGGCAGGCCAGCGTTGATCCGAGGCACCGGTGAGTCGACCCTGCCGTGCCAAGAAGACGCCCGCCGAAGTCCGCCCCAACGAGAGGCTAATTTTACCTTGTACCTGTGTTAGTGCTAGTGCGCGCCTGGCCCGTCCTAGGCCTCGACAGGTTCTCGCTCATCCACCCACCCTCCTCGACCTTCCCGACGATACCAGCGGGCCCGCCTCCACCTAGAAGACTGGTGCTGGGGGGTGGGTGGGTGTTCCCTGCTTCCGACACCCCGTACCATGCGGAACCGACCCTATCCAGTGCTCAAGTGCTCAAGTGCTTCCGACTACTGCATACATACCTGAGCTAGGGCCTGAGAGGCCTCGCTGGAGCCGAGGCATAGCGGCGTGATTTCGGACCTCCACCACCCCCGTCTTGTCCCGGGCTGAGTGGCATCAACACTAGCCGGCCCGCTGTCCTAGGGTTGCGCGAGCTGTCCGAAGCTGTCACAGCTAGGGTTGCAAGACCTCAAAAGCCGGTCATCCACCACCCGAAAGTGGCCGCCCTCCCCTCCAGAGCGCCGCCACAGCCGTCGTGCAAAACGGCCCAACCACCGACACGACCGCCACCGTCCGGCGGCAAGGCATACGCTCTGAGGCCGTAGAATGGTGACAGCTGCATCTATCTCTTTGCGCGGGTCAAGTGTACCTGGCCTCCCCTTGATGGTCCTAGGCGGGCTTCTCCACAGGAGTCGATCTTGGAGAGGGGCAGTGCTCACTCTGCACTCTCTGGTCGGCCTGCTGTACCGACCCGTCGTGACTTCACATCTACCTTGTGCCAGCGGCTCTCCTCGGCACCAGAGCGCTCCATCAGAACGCCAGAGCCTGTCCTGGGGCGGGTCCCTACGCCCTTACAATCATACGCATAAAAAACCCGGACTCAATCGATTGTACTGCGGTGGTGTGAGTGAATGCACCATGAGCAACAACCTGACGAGGCCTGTAAGAACGCTCCTGGCCCGTGCGTGCCTGTTAGTGTAAAAGTCAGTGCCTTCCTTCCTTTAGTCTCTTACCGCCTGCTAAAGAAGCACTGCGACGAATGCGGCACCGCGGCGACGCATGGCATGTAAGCTAAAAGTACGTACGAAGGTCGTACAGCAGGAGAGAGAGCAGGAGAGTACAGCAAGATCGCGCTCTACATCGCTCGCGTGGCAGCGACAAATTTCTTAGGGCGAGGGCGGGTGTTGGCTTCCCAAAACACTACCATGCCGGCCGCGGCGACCGCCGGCCGGCACTGGTGGGAGGTGCCGTGGCGACGGCCGCCGGCCGAGCAGCAGAGCAAACGGTCCCACCGGAGGAGCCGCAAGGGCTCCATCTTCCGCGGCGTGAGCAGGACATGGGACGGCCGCTGGCAGGCAGAGATCAAAGAGGGAGGAGTTGTGCGGCCGCTCGGACTCTTCGACGGAGAGGAGGCGGCAGCGCGCGCGTACGACGCGGAGAAGCTCCGGCTCGGGTGCGCAGTGCCCTCCTGCGCCGCCGGCTGCCGCCACCTCAACTTTCCGCCCAGCCGAGGCGCAGACTTCTTCCCGAGAGGCGGCGCGGCCGACCCGACCGGCGGCGGCGGCGCTCTCGCCGGCGGCGGCGGGGCGAGCCGTTGGCTGTGCGAATACTGCGGCCGCGCGCTCACCAATGCCGGAGCTAAGTCGAGCCACGAGCGCTGGTGCAAGCAGCAGCAGCTGCAGCTGAAGCCGAGGCAGCGGCCACCGCCTCTGCCTCTGCCGCCGCGGCGCGGAGACGGTGCAGGAGGAGAGGGCCAGGCGGCGGCAGAGATCGAAGCGTTGCAGCAGCGGTACAAGGACACGCACCAGGGCAGGCCGCCGACAGGCCCCTTCGCTCGCGACCCTGCGTGGCTCCGCGGCATGATCGAGGGCGAGCCGAGGCAGCGAGATATCGGCGAGATGCGGTCGAGATAGAGCCGCTGTGGACAGACATGCTTCACACTGGGATGAGTAGAGAACTGGACGAGCAGAGCGCTCCGGGCAGGTGGGCATACGGATGGCACACAGACGGCAGCAGCCTGTGACTCGTAGCGGGATGGTAACAGGCAGCGGTCCGGCGGTAACAGGCAGCGGTCCGCTTGTAACAGGCAGCGGTCCGACCGCAGCGCGCCGCGTGGCCAGGGGCAGTGCGCCAGGAACCCGCGGTGCGTGCGGGGCGCAAGGCACGCCGGAAAGTGCTCAGAGGTGGCGACGGAGGCGGCGACGGAGGCGGCGACGGAGGGGGCTGGAGGAGCCGAGGCCGGAGGAGGTGCTGGGTGGCGTCCGCTCCGCCGCCCGCCCCGCCACGGCACGCTGCACGGCGGCGGCCCGTACGGCGGTCTGGTCTCGGAGCGGCACGTGGCGCGCGGCGACACCTCGACGCTCTCTCGGCGCCCTCTCGGCTCGGTAGGCATCTGGGTCTCTCAGCGGCACGTGGCGCTCGAGCGGGACGACGCGCTCTCCGGAGAAGTGGTCAGCGACGCTTCGATGTGTAGCGACGGAGGCGGAGGCGGAGGCGGCGGCGGAGGCGATGGCGGAGGCGAACGGGAGGAGACCTTCCCGCTCGTCCGATTGCGCGGGCCGGAGGAGGCGGCCGCGGTGGAGTCCGGCCTCAGCTCGGGGCTGGTGCGGCGGCTGCGGTGCGTGCTGGGGAGAGAGCCGGGAAGCTTTGAGCTGCAGGCTGAGAGGGCGCGGCTGGGGGCGGTGCCGCTGGTGTGGGAGGAGGAGGAGAAGGAGGGGGAGGGGGAGGAGGAGGGGGAGGAGGAGGAGGGCGAGGAGGGCGAGGAGGAGACGGCCGCGGAGGAGGGGGCGGTGGAGGCGGAGCCGCAGGAGGAGGAGGTGGCGGTGGAGAAGGAGGGGGAGGAGAAGGAGGAGGGGTGGGCGGAGGAGGAGGGAGAGGCGGCGGGGGCGGGGGCGGCGGGGCGGCAGAGGCGACGCGGCGGCGACCCGGAGCAGCGGCGGGCCGAGCAGTGGAGGCACCAGCTGAGGTGGTCGGTGCGGCACGTCCATGACATGTCCGTGACACGTCCAGAACGTGTCGCGCAGGCACCAGCTGAGGCGGACGGTGCGACAGTACGGCGGCGATCCCGACGACCGGAGGCTCGGGCTGTGGCTCAGGAAGAGGGGCACGTCGATGACGCGTCCATGACATGTCCGCGACACGGCCGATAGGCTCGGGCTGTGGCTCAAGCTCTGGGACATTCACCGGCTCGCCGTGCAGCAGATGCTTCGAGGGGTGGGCAGCGCCGTGCGAGAGTGCGTCCCGGCCGGCGCTGACGCGGCGGTGGCGCGGAGGGCCGACGAGATGCTCGCGAGATTTGAGGCGGAGTTGCGCGACGTGCCGCCGCGGGGTCGAGCCCACCCGCTCGTTCGATGCGTGGCGGGTACGTGCGTAGGCGGAGCTGGTGTTCGTCATGGCGCCGGCGGAGCAGGTGGCGCAGGGTCTGTCGCTGGAGGTCCTCCGTGCCTCTCGGGCCAACAGCGCCTTTTGCGGCGCGTGCGTTGCGTGCCGCGAGTCGGACGCGTTTCGCGCGCCCGGCCGGGACGGCAACTCGCGCAAGCGGCCGCTGCTGGAGTGCGAGCGGGCGGCGGCGGTCCGGCGAAAGCAGGAGGAGTTGGACAGGCGCGGCCGGCGGCCCGGGTGCATCGCGGAGCCGTGTGGGGTCCGTTTGGACGCCTCTCCCTTTGTGCGAGTCGCACTCTCTTGCTTAGGTACGTCGCGGAGCCGCGCAATTACCGCACCAAGCGGAAGAGGCGGGAGGAGGCGGCCGCGGCGGCGGAGAAGGGTTCCGGCGCCGACGGCGGGGGCGGGGGCGGGGGCGGGAAGGCGCCTCGGCTGCTCGAGTTGTGCTTACCCGCCGCCCTGAGGAAGGGCGTGCCTTCGCTTCGCGCGGAAGCGGCGTCGCGCGGCGCAGCGAGGGGAGGGGCGCGAGGTGCCGGCCCTTCCTCCTCTGCTGCTGGGCCCTCCTCCTCTGCTGCTGGGCCCTCCTCCTCTGCTGCTGGGCCCTCCTCCTCTGCTGCCGGGCCCTCCTCCTCTGCTGCCGGGCCCTCCTCCTCTGCTGCTGGGCCCTCCTCCTCTGCTGCTGGGCCCTCCTCCTCTGCTGCTGGGCCCTCTTCCTCTGCTGCCGGCCCCTCCTCCTCTGCTGCTGGGCCCTCCTCCTCTGCTGCCGGGCCCTCCTCCTCTGCTGCTGGGCCCTCCTCCTCTGCTGCTGGGCCCTCCTCCTCTGCTGCCGGGCCCTCCCTCGCTACGGAGGCGGAGGGGCTGCAGCTCCACCTCTCGAGCGAAAGCAGCACCGGCTACAAGCGCGTGGCCAAGCTCCCCTCTGGCCGCTTCCGGGCGAAGCACACGGTGGGCGGGACGTTGGTCAACATCGGCACCTTCGACACGGCGGTGGAGGCGGCGGCGGCGTACGCGCGGTCGGTCGGGGAGCCGCCGGAGCGCCGAACTTCCGGCGCTGCCGGCCAGCTGCCGGTCCCTCCCCTGCTGCCGGGCCCCGTGCTTCTGCCCGTCCCGCCTCTGCTCTCCCTCCCTTCCTCCGCCGCCGCGCCCTCTTCCGCCGCCCGCGCCGTTGCCTCCTCTTCCGCCCACGCCGCTGCCTCCTCCGCCGACGCCGCTGCTTCCTCCGCCGCCCTCGCACCTTGCTCTGAGGTTGCGCCGCCGCCGGTGCCTGCCGGCGGCAAGGGGCGTCCGCCGCCGGGGAGCGCGTGCGCAATTTGCCACGAGAAGAAGTTGCGGTGCGTGAGGCTTCCGGGCGGCAGTTGCGAGTACTGCGTCAGCAACGGCCTCACTTGCGTCCGTCGAGGATCCAGCGGCGGCAACTGTTCGGTGACTGCGCCTTGCTGCTCGGCCTACCGCGGCAGCCCGCGTCAAGCGCGACATTGCCCGAGGTGACGCGAGGTGACCCGAGGGGTTCCTTCATGTAGGCAACCCGCTCAAGCTCGAGCTGATCGAGGGCGACGCCACGCTGCAGGCGCTGCTGGTCCGTACAGCCGGCGAGACGGGGGCGCGCACCCGCGACTTGCTCTGTGCGGAGGGCTACCACGTGACGCGGAAGGACGTCCTCAACTACCGCCGGACGCGAAAGTGCGCGAGGGACGCGCAGGCCCAGAGAGAGCCCGAGAGAGTGAGCCAGCCGTAACGAGTACCACTACCAGTTGTATATCGTTTGCAGTTCCTTACGGCGGGCGGCGCGTGATACGGAGCAACACTGGCTCTGCAGTCTCTCTGGTGCAGTCTGCAGACTGCACGCTGCAGAGTCCAGAGACGGCATGGCGCATGCCAATTGTGTCAATCTCGTCACAGCGAGAGACCTTACACAAGTGTCACAACAAAACAACGTCAACGAGCAACGACGAAGGAAGCCAATATGCACTGTGTACGTGGCCGCGCGCTCCGCACCACGAGTGGCTGCGCACTACGAGTGGCTGCGCAGCGCCCCCTTCTGCAGCTCCGCCACCTGGTCGAGCGCGTCGCCGAGCAGCCCCTTGGCCACGCCCAGGTCGCGCAGCTGCTCCACGCCGCCGCTTGCGCGCACCTCGGCGGCGTGGTCGGCCACGAAGCGGCGGCACTGCGCGAGGAGCCGCCCGTCGCCCGTCGTATGCGCCGCCTCGAGCAGCGGCACGGCGGTCGCCGGCCCGACGCTCTCCTGCAGCGCCTGCGCGCAGAGCAGCTCGAGGCGCGGCACCTGGTACTTATGCGCCAGCTGCCGCAGCACGAGCGCGCGCCGCGCCTGCTCGCCCTCCCCCTCGCCGAGGTCGAGCTGGTCGGTGAGGAGGTAGCGGACGAGGGCGGTGAAGCTGGCGAGGTCCGTTTCGAGCACCGTGACCTCGGCGGCGTCGCGCTCCTTCATGCCGATGCCAAACATGGTCCGAAAGAACACGGACCGCACGCAGAGGGCGCACTTGCTCACGTGCTCGACGCGCTCCTCGTCGTCGCCGACCAGGAAAGTGACCATGCCCTGGGGCAGAGTAGCGTCGCCCCACATCTTGCCCATGTCGGCGGAGAAGGTGGACGGCGGAACCACGAGCGGCGCGAAGGAGGGAGGCGGAGGAGGCGCCGCCACGCAGACCTGGCGGAGAGCCGAGCCCTCCATGCGGACCAAAAGCGTTGTGCTGTCGGCGCTGATGGCGAGGGCCACTGGGTGTTCGAACTGCGCCGCGTGACCCACGCCATCGACGCTGCCCGCGGCGCCGCTGCCCGCGAGCGTAGTCACCGCGCCCGTCGCCACCTCCACCCGCCGGATCTTGTGGTTGATGCAGTCCGCCACAAACAACGCGCACCCGTCCGGGCTGATCGTGACGCCGTGTGGGTTCTTGAACTGCGCCGCGCCGCCCACGCCGTCTTCATCGCCTTCCTCGCCGCTACCCGCGAGCGTCGTCACAGCACCCGTCGCCACCTCCACCCGCCGGATATTGTGGTTGGCGGCGTCCGTCACAAACAGCGCGCTCCCGTCCGGGCTGATTGCGAGGCCGTATGGGGAGTAGAACTCCGCCGCGCCGCCCACGCCAACAGCGTCGCCTTCCTCGCCGCTACCCGCGAGCGTAGTCACCGCGCCTGTCGTCACCTCCACCCGCCGGATCTTGTGGTTGTCGCAGTCCGCCACAAACAGCGCGCTGCCATCCGGGCTGACAGTGACACCCCATGGGTAGCGGAACTCCGCCGCGCCGCCCACGCCATCCGCGTCGCCTCTTTCGCCGCTACCCGCAATCGCCGTCACAGTACCCGTCGCCAGCTCCACCCGACGGATCTTGTGGTTGCCGGCATCCGCCACAAACAGCGCGCTCCCGTCCGGGCTGAGGGCGACGCCGGAGAACCCGCCGCCTTCGCAGGTCGCCACGGTGCGCACGCGCCCGGCCGCCGAGACGTGCAGCACCGAGTCCTGCGTCGCGACGTACCAGCCGCACGCGTGATCGCTTTTCACGCCGCACAGGGTGAGGGACACCAGAGGTCCGTCCTCGCCCTCGAGCGCGAGCGTGGTGACCTGGCCGACGGCGCGCACGCCAAAGATAGGCGCCTCGAAGCCGGCAGCGACCGCCACGGGCTCGCCCTCCTCCTCGCTGCGGCCGCGCTTGCGGGAGCGGGAGGGCGACTCCATCGAAGCCGCTGGGATTTCTTTTCGCGCCACTGTCGTGCGAAGGTTTGCGAATTCTTTAAGTCATCTTACCCTCGGCCCCAGTGGAGGGCGCCCGCGCCGCCTAGCTCTGCGGACGAGCCCCTCCACCCTTCACGTACGGATCATGTAGTCCCCACAATCGCTGTCGTGGGATCGCTTGTCATGTGAGAGAGTGCGTTGTGTTCTTGGGGTATCGGCTTTCTTTCTCTGTTCGCGCTACCTCGGGCGGCTGTGGACTGTATTGTTCTCCCTGGCGTGCGCGAGTCGCTCGTCCTAGGGAGCGAACTAGTGCGAGTCACTAGTGTACTCGAATGCAAGCGAAGGATAGCTCTCGTCTGCTGCTGCTGCTGCTGCTGTTGCTCTCGCTACTGCTGTTGCTATTGAAGCTGAAGAAGAAGAAAAGAGCTGCTGTCTAGTCGCTACGCAGTTGTCGCTGTCTGTTAGCTACGGTTGCTAATGCTGACGTGCGCATCGTGTTCACGCACACCGCACCAATTTCCGCCCCCGGAAGGAGAAGAGGAGTGGTGCATTCCCATTCGGTGCGCATCGTGTTCACGCACGTATGTGTGCTAGTGGCCTGGGGTGGCGACAGATTGCTTCGTAGAAGCGCTCCTATGCCATATCACCGGGAGGTGTCGCAGCGTGCGAGCGGTCGTCGTCGTTCCGAGCTGGCCAAGCGTATTGGCGGGTCGCCTCACGCTTGGCCTGCTGGAGTACCGCTCGCTCGCCGCCCCGGAGTGGCTACAGCACGCCTCTCTTTTCCTCTCTATTTTCCCGGGAAAACTGCGTGGAAATCGTCAAATTTTTGGCTCTGAGCCGAGTCTGAGGCTGGTTTGGGCCCCAAATCAGCCAAATTTTAGTTAGGCCAAATCGGCAAAATGCCGGGAATTTCGCGTAGAACCCGTGTATACCTGGAAATTACCCTGCGACCGCCTGGGTATTTTGTCGATTTCCTCAATTTTGCCTCAGATTTTGCCCCAGACCAGCTCTCAGACTCAGGGAAACTCGCGAGTTTCCAGAATGGAGCACCAAACACCCTCTGTTTCCCCTGGAAATTTCCGGAAACGCAAAGTGCTGGGGACCCTCTGTTTTCCTTTTTGTTTTCCGGAAAACCTGGTTGAGCCCAAGCAAGGTGGCTGCCGCCTCCACAGTCGCCACTGCAGCCCATTTGACAAATCCCGTCTCTCGGCAGAGCTGCTGCCGGAGTAGATGGCCCCCTGCCCCACGTTCGTCCCTTCTCTCCCTGCTGCGGCCGCTGCCGGCTGCGCCCGCTGCTGCCGGCCGCCACCCGCTGCGATGCGAAAAAAAAACTGAACCCTCCCATACGTGCTCGTCGGTCTCGCGGCCAGACTGCCCCCCTAGATTTTAGGGTCTGAGCGCAGTCTCCCAGGACTGTTACTCAGTCCACCCAAGAAGGGCGCCCAAGAAGGGCATCGCTCTCGTGCGCGCGCTGTTTCCATGCCGCTCTCGCGCGCAAGCAGTGCCGGCAAAAGGGAAAGAGCCCGCGCCTACAATAAGGCGCTACCGCTCACCATCCGATGTCTCACCTGGAACGTCGGCAACGCCAAGCCGGTCGCCGCAGAGCTCGCGCATGCGCTGCCGGATGGGCTCGATGAGGACATCATCGTCGTCGGCACGCAGGTGTCTGAGCGCCCGCGCGCCGCGGCCGCTCTCGCCGAGCATTGCGCACTCCGCCGCTCCCGCCACCGCCCCGCACTCCGGTTTCCCCGCCGCGTCCGCCGCAGGAGAACTCCTACAAGGCGGGCAAGGGGGGGCGGAAGCGGGCGGTGGCGCAGGAGAAGCGGGCGGTGGCGCAGGAGTCGCCGGAGCCGACCGAGAAGGCGGGGTCCGCCTACTCCGCCTACGAGCCCGCCCCAACGCCCGGCTCGCCACACTCGTCGGTCGGCGACACCGAGGAAAGAGAAGAGGAGAGCGCTGCCGCCGTCGGCGGCGGCGGCAAGGGGCACGCAGAATGGGAGGAGATGCTGGCGCGGCGGCTTGGGCGGGGGTACGTGCCGGTGCGGCACGTGCGGCTGTGGGAGATGCGCCTCTCCGTGTACGTCAAAGCCTCGCAGCGCGCCAACGTCACCAAAGTGCACGTGGCGAGCGCAGCGACGGGCGGGCCGGGAGGGATGCTGGGCAACAAGGGCGGGCTCGTCGTGCGGCTGCGGCTCGGCGCCACCTCGCTCGCCTTCGTCTCTTGCCACCTCGCGGCCCACTCGCACATGCTCTCACGGCGCAACCACAACTGCTCCGAGCTGCTCCGCGAGACGGCCTCGGCGCTGGGCCCGCGGCACCTGACGGCGGCGGCGCAGTTCGACCACGTCTTTTGGCTCGGCGACCTGAACTACCGCACCGACCTCAACGCGGCGGCGGCGGCGGCGGGCGAGGAGGCGCCCTTCCCCACCGACGAGGAGCATCACGGCCAGGTGCCGCGGCCAGGGGAGTGGTGGAGCTCCTCTCGCCGACTAACCTCGCCGCACCTCTGCTTCAGGTCCTGCGGCTGGTGGAGCAGGGGGACTGGGGCGCGCTCCTCGGCGCGGACCAGCTGGCAGCCAGCCGCGCCGCCGGCGAGGCCTTCGTCGGCTTCGAGGAGGGGCCCATCGCCTTCGCGCCAACCTTCAAGGTGGAGCGGTCGAGCGAGCTCGTCTACCAGCAGAAGCGCATCCCCTCCTATTGCGACCGCGTGCTCTGGAAGTCGGCCGCCGGACTGCGCGGCGCCGTGTCGCAGACGTCCCTCGCCGCGCTGCCGCGCGTCTCGACGTCCGACCACAAGCCCGTCGTCGCCACCTTCAGCCTGACCCCGAGCGAGGCGCTGCGCGGGACCATGCAGGAGGTGCGCAGCGGCGGCAGCAGAGGCAGCAGAGGGTCGTCGCGCAAGTCGAGCCTCTTCGGCAACGTGAGCAGCTCCTTTGCGGCTGGGTCGGCGTCGTTCACCGGCTCGCGCGCGTACGCCTCTCTCGACGTCGTCCGCCCGACGGTGCGGATACGCGGTTTGTCTGCGAGCGAGCTGGTCGACATCTTACATGCTATTCGTATTATATTATATTCGTATTACTATTATTATTATTATTATTATTATTAGGTCGACATGGACTACACCGGCGGCTGCGACCCGTACTGCGTGGTCTCCGCGAACCCGTACGAGCTACTCTATTGCGCGGCGCACGAGCACGTCCTCAAGAAGGGCGAGGCCGCCGCCAGCACCGTCAAGCACGGGCAGGACTGCACGTGGCCAGACGACGAGGTGCAGAGATGTAGTAGTAGTAGCAGTAGCAGTAGCAGTACTAGAAGTAGCAGTAGCAGTAGGTAGATAGCAGTAGTAGTAGCAGGCAGGACTGCACGCCGACGACGAGGTGCAGAGATGTAGCCGAGGTGCGGATACCTGCCTCTCGCGCTTCACCCGCCACGCGCTCAACAGGTGCCGCTGCTGCGGCTGCGCGGCGTGCGGACTGCGGCGCTGCCGCACACGACGCTGCTGCTCGCGGTGCCCGAGAGCGACGCCTCGCCGTCGCCGCAACCTCTGGCACGGACGCAGCCAATGCCGTGCATTGCCTGCTGTAGGTGCTCGACAAGGACAACGTCATCTTGGGCAAGGACGACCCGGTGGGGGTGGTGCAGGTGGCCCTCATCTTTCCCCCGCGGCACTCTCTGCCCCCCCAGCCCAACCTCACCCCCTCACGAGGACGGAGAACTCACGCGTGTGGGCGTCCCCCCGCGCGGCGCGCCAGCGCTCTCCCAAGCAGCCCCCCGCGCCGGCGCCCTTTCGCCACCGGGAAGAAGGGAGCCGCTACACAGGGCATCGTTTCCGCCGCCCCAGGTGCCGCTGCGGCCCGTCGGCTGGAGCCAGGACAGCGATCTGCCTCCCAGCTTCGAGGTCGAGTTCGACGAGCCGCTCGTGCAAGGCATGGCGTCGACCGACCTCAAGTCGGGCCGCCCCCTCGGCCGGCTGCGCGGCACCCTCTCCATCGCGACGACGGCGGAGGCCATCGAGGAGGCTCTCGCGGAGGCGAGGGCGGACGGCGCCGGCGAGAAGGCGCGCACCGTCAAGCTGGGCGCCTCGGCCTTTGAGCGGCGCTGGCGGTGCTGCTGACGTGGCCCGCCGCCAGCGTGGGTGCGTAAGGGGGAGGGGGAGGGGGAGTGGGGGGAGGGGAGACGTGGCGTCTGGCGAGACTGGACAGATAGGTACTCGTATTGGATTGTGCGCGTCGGGTGCGTGAGTTCCGCAGGGTGGGTCGGATGCGTGGTTGCGTCAGTGTGTGCGACCATGGGCCGACGGCGACGGCGCTCTCTCCGTCTGGGTATTGGGGTCTCTTGACACAGTGTGTTGTGTGTCACAGCTCAGTGGTCGTTCTCCCTGTCGGGCTGCGTTTTTGATCTCGAGACCCGAGAGAAGGCCGCGGAGGGCCCGGAAAGAAATATCTTTTGCTAAGACGGCGACACGGCCGCAGCTCGTGTGCGTGTCGCCGTCTTTGTCCGGAGTGAAAAGTCCAACGCGCTCGTCGGTGACGGTGTCCCTCGATTTCGCCGCGCTCCGGCACCGCTCCGGGACGCACGCCGGCGAAGCACCATCAAGCTGCTGTACGGCCCCGGAATCGCCTCCCCTCGCTTAGCTAGACTGAGAGTTATTGTGCACATGGCCAGTCTCTACAATATACTCACTGACACCCCCCCTCCCAGAGCTCGTCCCGGTCCGCCACGGCCATCCTCGGCCTCCGGAGGGCCCCCGGCCGCGGCGCGGTGCGGCGGCGTCACAAATCCGACGGCAGAGCACCGGGACGCGGTCGGGCGATCTGAGGTCCAGTGAGGCGTATGCATTGCCCATCCAGGGCTATCACATGGAGCTATCAACAGGCGGGCAACGGCCGTCCACTACGACGGTCGACGCCTCCAGCACTGCGATGATTCCTGTGTCACCTGTGCTTTCGGCCCCTGCGGCCGCGGGCTCGAGCAAGCGGAAGGCAGTTGAGTCACCTGGAAAGCCTGCGCCCAAGGCGCCTCGCGACGGTGCGGAGCATCAATGCATGGGCAAGGTGCTTGGTGCGAACTGCAATGCTGCGGGATTTTCCATTTCCGGCACGATTTGGGAGAAGTTTCTCTGCAAGGAATGCAGGAGCCCGTGCGGATTCGAAGTCAAGTTGAGGTACGTGCGCTGCGTCCCGGCCGAGATTCAACCTCCTGAAAAAGTTGTGGAGGGAGGGAACAAAGGGGGGAGTGAAAACGGCTGGCGTAAAGGCGCTGCTCCAGGGTCTCCTCTCGTCTGTCTCTGCAACGAACCTAAGGTCGTCAAGGAGACGAAAAGGGAGGACGGTAAATCTGTCCCAACGGGACGAGAAACGCGGGTGTACTACGATCCACGCGGAGCGTTGGTGATGCTACACCCAGATTCCGTCGGCATTGCACCCGCTGGCTGGACTGAACCTTCGCAGCGGACGCATCCTGAGTGGGACATCAAAGATGGGATGGTGCGACTCTTCTACGGACTGTTTGGCGACGGCAAAGGGCACAAGCAAAAGTTGGTGACGGCGCTTCGACCTCCAGCGGGGCAGCCCTTGTCAAGCGGGGCAGCCTCGGAGAGGGCGGCGCAGGAGAAGGAGGCGGCGCGGCACGCCGAGGAGCTGCTGGCGGAGATCGAGGCGGAGAAGCGCGCCAAGGGCAAGAAGGGCAAGAAGAAGAAGAAGGGCGGCGGGGCGGGCGGGGCTGGGCCGTCGCAGGAGGCCGAGGAGGGTGCCGTGGCGCCGTCGGAGGCAGCCGCAGCCGAGGCGGCGAAGAAGGCCGAGGAGGAGAGATTGATCAGGCTTCTCGAGAAGTGTCACGAGGAGCGGATCCGGTTCGGCATCACGGCGGAGAGCCAGGCAGCGGCGTCGGCAGAGATGGCTAAGGCGGCGCGGTTGGACGCGATGGCGGACGAGGCGGAGGAGGAGGCGGAGGCGTACGAGGAGATGGAGGCGTCGGCCGAGGCGGAGCTGGCGGCTGCCGAGGTGGCGAGGGCGGAGGCCAGGGCGGCGCATGCAGAGGCCAAGGCGGCGTTTGAGAAGATCAGGGCGGCGCTAGAGGAGGCAGCCGTGGCACTAAGCGGGACCGAATCGGCGTTGGAGGGGAGCGAGACGGCGCTCGAGGAGGCGGCGGCCGCTGCAGACGCGTGGCGTGCCGATGCGGCCGCTTCGCGGGCCAGGGCGGCCACTGCCAGGGTGGCGGCGGAGGCAGCACAACGCTCGTAGAGATAAGAGAGCGTGTGATTCTGATGTCAATGCCCCCCCCCCCCCCCCCCCTTCACGCTGCCCGACGCTCTCTCTCTCCGTCCACGGTCCAGACCAGTGTGTTTCAAGATGCACGAACATATCATAATTATGGAGTAGTAAGAAGTGTGGGGTTGAGAAGCCGCCATCAGCAAGGTTATGGTTCTGTGTGTCGCTCGCCTCCTGTGTGACCGTCGCCGCCCGTCTTCTGGGCGTCCAGCTGGGCGTCCACCACGCACCAGTGTTGTCACAAAGGCTAGTTCCATTTCACTCTGACACGCTAATCTTGAAAACGTCCAACGGAGCTCCGTGTTGCTCCCAGCGCCCTCCCCCGCGCTTCCTGCGGCCATGGCCGATGATACTAGTATGAGAGGTCATCTGGCCACCGCGAGCGCGACTCAACTCGCCGACGTCGTCCGATGATTGTGCCTCAAAGTCAGCCTCCGGAGGCTATCGTGGGGTCGAGCCGGCAGTAGCCGTGACATGTGGTTCCACCACCCCTCGTATGCTTTGCCTCTGACCGCCACCGTTCCCATGCTGCCTAATGGGATGGAAAGGAAGGCTCGGCGAGCGTATAGAAGCGTGCTCGACCTCGTCGTGGCAACCTGCACGGCAGCGCTGGTAGGCGCGATGAGCGTCGTGCCACCTGACCCGAGACGGGTCGCAGGCGTCGTACCGAGCGCGTCGAGACCGTGTCCTGATGTGATCTGCACGGGTGAGTCACGTCGGCGTCAAAGGAGCGACGTGCGACCTGTCAGAGCTTGATCTCCGATCTCAGCGGCGTCGAGTCGTCTCCGGCGCGCGACAAAGGTACATCCCCAGGACGCGCAGAGGCAGCTGAGATCGGAGATCAAGCTCTGACAGGTCGCACGTCGCTCCTTTGACGCCGACGTGACTCACCCGTGCAGATCACATCAGGACACGGTCTCGACGCGCTCGGTACGACGCCTGCGACCCGTCTCGGGTCAGGTGGCACGACGCTCATCGCGGGTACCGAGCACGAATGCGGAACCTCGGCGAGTGTCGTGTACTCAACAGAAATTTCCCGCCGGGGAACTCCAACGTTGTTGACCTCCTTCTGGCCTCATCC